GTGTTTCCTAGAAAGTAAGACCTACCCCGAAAATAAGACCTAGCGCTATCTTCAGGGATTTCTGTAATATAAGACCTACCCCGAAAATAAGACCTAGTTCGGTGGTAGGTCATATTACAGAAATCCGCTAAGTCTTACTTTTGGGGTAGCTGCACATATAATACAATTTTACGTGACCGGCCGCAGCTCCCTCCCTCCCCCCCACACACACGTACACCCACTTGGCTGCCGCTGAAGACTAGATTTCCCAGCAGGCACAGCGCGGCATAGCCAGTGGGGTTGAAGTGGACGGCATCAGAGTGGACAGCTGCAGCCAGGTAAATATAAGACATCCCCCGAAAATAAGACCTAGTGTCTTTTTTCATTGAAAAAAAAAAAATATAAGACAGTGTCTTATTTTCGGGGTATCTACTGTTTTGGTTCCAGTTTGCGCATCTGTCTGCAAAGTTCATAAACAGGGTGCACTCATCAGGCTGACGATGGCCGGGTCAGGAATTCATGAATCACATGGTCGGTGGGTGGCTTCTTCCGTCCCCTCCTCAATGCACTTGAAGGTCCGGGTTCACCACTCGCTGTGGCCTCCAAGTTGACACTCCTGTGCATGAAAATAAAAAGAGCAACGTGAATCAACTATCATTGATATGTGTTACATGGTTGCTAAAATACTGTACTTTTAAGTTCCCCACAGATTCTGAAGAGTTGAAAACAGTTTCACGATATCTGGAATTTCCCCAACTGTGGAGGAGCTATAGATGGGAAACATGTCTGCATAACACCCCCTGCAAACTTCGGCTTATATACTATTACAATTAAAAAGGCTACTTTAGTATCATTTTGTTAGTTGTAAATGCCAAATATGAGTTCATATATGTTGATATTGGCCGTAAAGGTCGACACTCAGATAGAGGTGTCATGGAGCGGACAGAGTTCAATGCACGCCTTCTGAATGGGTCATTAAATCTCCCATCAAATGAGGAAACCGTACAGAGTCTCAACTTCCTTTTTGTGGCTGATGATGCATTTGTCCTTGATCACATCCTCAAACCATTCCGACAAAGAAGTCTGTCTCCTGAGCAATGCATCTTCAATTATTGCCTATCTTGTACCAGGCGAGTGGTGGAGAATGCGTTTGGGATAATGGCAAATTGTTTCAGGATCCTACATACTGCAATCAACCTTTCCCTTGCCAATATTGACATCATTGTGTACTGCTGTTGTTCCCTACATAATTACTTAACCCCGTAAGTGCAAAGGCCTTTTTTTCATTTTTTGCACCCATGCTATAATCCACATTTTAGGCCTGAAAATTACTTAAAACACCCAAACATTATATATTTTCTGAAAGCCAAGATCCTATAGAATACAATGGTGGCAGTTGCACGACCTTAGCGCAACTTATTATCAAACCCAAATTTGTTTTGAAAAATGTACATAGGTTAAATTTAGTACCCAAAAACACTATACATATTTTTTATGTAAAATCTAAAAGATGAGGTTACAATGAGTAAATAGTTACCCAACACGCACAGGTTAAAAATTGTGTGCGTCTGTGAAACTACGACAGAATTCAGTACCCCAAAAAGTCCATAGATGGCGCTTTAAAAGCCCATACAGGTCATTAGTTTAGAGATACAAGTAAATATTGGCCCTAGAACTATTGCTGTCACTCTGGCATGTGTGGCGATACCCAACATGTAAAGCACAATCATCGTTTTCGTATGTAGGCACACCCGACGCATGTTTACGAGATGACGCACGTGCTTGTGGGGGCAGGAGACTTTACTTTAATTGCTATCACATAGGGGGGATTACAAGCCCCCCCATGTAATAGCATATTGGCAGTGACAGATACTCTTTGAGGGGATGCTGGGCATCCAAAAGACCCCTAGTGTCACCTTTACACTGCAGATCGCACTTCAGTAGCTTATTGCTGGGCTTCAGGAGCCCAGCAATGACAGCTCAGGGGCCAGAAGTGGTGCAATACACGTCGCTCCCGTTCCCATAGTATGGGGAGGAAATCGATCCGTTCACCGATCTCCTCCCCAGCTTCCCACCGACACGCGGCAAGCCGGTCCTGGGCCTGTAGGAGGGGCAACAGAACCCAGGAAACACGTCAGGGGGTGGCCTGGTTACCGGATCCTAGAAGCGATTTGGCAGCAGCTGAGCCGCCACAATCCCTTCTGTAAAGCCGGCCGCCGGCTCTACAAAACTGAACAGACTACTGCCGGGAGTCTGTTTAACCCCTTCAGACTTCATGACGGGATTATCCCTTCATGAGTCGTGAAGGGGTTAAGACAGCAAACCACATCATAAATGCCATCTACCTTCTGGACAACGAGGACCTTGTCAGTGGGATCATGCAGCCAGGGGAATGGAGCAATGACAGTGCTGCCCTTGACAGCTTAGGAGCCATGCATCCTCGCTTGGCATCGACAGCAGCGCGACAAATAGGCAAAACTACATGGATTACTTCATGGGACGTAGTGCTGTTAAATGGCAAAGCAGGATATATCGTGCCGTGTCATGTTGAAGAACAGTAACCACTATATCACCTTCCCAGAAACACATATACGCAACATGTAGACATATTCCTGTATATATAACGGAAAATTGTATACTTACCTATCGGTAATTTTCCTTTCCTGACGCCAATACATGGCAGCATACAATGGGTATGGCTCCGCCCCCATCCCAATCACAGGACCAGTTATACTATAAATTAAAGCCCACCTCCCAAGGCCACCATTCTCGTAACAAGTACTCAATGCGAAAGCCATGGGAGGGTCCTTTATGCTGCCATGTATTGGCGTCAGGAAAGGAAAATTACCGATAGGTAAGTATACAATTTTCCGTTTTCCTGACGCCAATCCATGGCAGCATACAATGAGATCTAACTAGCACACATCCAGGGAGGGTAATTCTGAGATATTTATTTATTTGTAAAAACTGGTAAACACATTCAGAAACAACTTCACCTTGGACAAGACTCCTGGATAGACCCTGTAATGGGACAGGAACAGATACCAGGTTACTGCCTTCCAAAATAACTCTGGAGGTACATCACTAAATTCTATCCGTAAAGGATAACATTCTTCGGAAGAGCGAATCCAGAGTTTGATCTGTGGCTCCATCTGTTTGATCAGGCACAGTGCATGTGACCTAGTGCACGCAGATAGCTACTTTCTAAACGCACCAGAAAGATGAACAGATCGACCCGAAAAAAAAAAGGTAACCTCCATGTTCTTCCCCAGCATAGCAGCCACATTTCGGGCATTAACTGAAACAAAAAACTTGTCTGTGAAATGGTAGCAATAAGGTGGTTTGTAGGCTAATCTTGACTATCCAACACCCTCCTCCCCGAGGAGATTGCTGTCCGTCAACTGGAGACACCAAGGAGTTGACCCGTCAACTGGAGACACCAAGGAGTTGACCCGTCAACTGGAGACACCAAGGAGTTGACCCGTCAACTGGAGACACCAAGGAATTGACCGTCAACTGGAGACACCAAGGAGTTTTTGTTTTTTTTATATTTAATCTTTATTATTTTCATCACAATTAACAGTTACATTCGTAAGAAATAAATAATTCGGTTTACAACATTCCATTACAATAAACAAAACACACAAAACACACCCGAGACCTACTGGGCAAAAAGAAAAAACAACAGGAACAAATGGGGAAAGGGAAGGGAAGGGGAAAGCGACAACATAAGGATAGATATAGACATGGACACCCTATACATTAAGCTTCCACCAAGTGTAAACTTGGAAATTCATTGTAAACCTGACTAAATCTGATTATCTACGTCTACCCCCCCAAAAAAGGGGGGGGAAAGTAGAAAATCATACTCCCGGGCCTCAACAATGATCCACATTAGTTAAATATTCTTTTTTTTGGAATTCGCCCCAGGGCTGCCATTTATTTTTACAGCCTTCATATTTATCATATTTTATAGCAGTCAATTCTTCCATACGTCTATAGTAATCCACTCTGCTGAACCATTCCCCCAGCGTTGGAACATTGGCTGTTTTCCAGTGCAGAGGGATTAGCGCCCTGGCTGCGTTCAGCAGAGTGGGTATCAACCACTTTTTATATACCGACAGTGGGGTTGTGGTGGCGTGGAGTAGGCATATTGATGGTTCGAAAGGTAGAGAGATATTAGTAATTTGCTCAACCCTCTGAACAATCTGTTTCCAGAATGGCCCAATCCGGGGGCAGGACCACCAAATATGTAAGTATGAGCCAACATCCGCACAACCTCTCCAGCAAGTAGCTGCATTTAGATGATGTATTGCATGTACACGGTCGGGTGTGTAATACCATCTAGCCAAAAAGCGATATATCGTGTCTGTTACCAAAGTGCTAATGGATAAACTGGTGTTGGCCCGTAATATATCTCGCTTTTGGGAGTCGGTCCATAAGACCTGCAACTCCCTTTCCCACTGCGTAAGATAATGTGGAGCTATTTGAGAGATTCCTTCCAGTAGAATCGAATATATTCGTGACACTCCATGTCGGGGTGGTTCTGTCAATGATAATAATTTTTCCATAGGTGTCAAGTCAGTCATCTTACGCAGTGGTTTCGGCAAGGAGGACACAAAGTGCCCCAGTTGACTATATCTCCACCAGTCTAGTGGATGCCTCCCCCACTGCTCTTGTAGCTGTAACAGTGGTTGCAATTGCAAGCCATCCCATATCTGTGAGAGTGTCAGAGGTGGGTGAATAGCCCTGTTAAGGAAACCTTGGCCTTGAAGTCCTGGCATGAAGAAGGAATGCCCTATCAGAGGCAGAGACACCAAGGAGTTGACCCGTCAACTGGAGACACCAAGGAGTTGTCCCGTCAACTGGAGACACCAAGGGGTAGGATAGAGGCATTCCCCCTTGGCGATCACTTTTAAATTGATCAGAGCCTAACTTAAGATGGTTCCATGGACTGCTAGAGTATAAGCATGCTGAACAACCAGCAGGATGACGCTTCAATAGTTGGAATACTTGTTCACTCAAGAAGGCTGTGACTGGATGCAATCTTTTGGAAAATGACCTAGGATTGTGGCAAGGACAAAGGGCAGGTAAACAAAACAAAAGTGGAACTTTAGAATGGTAAGCAAGACATTTGATGAAAGACAGGTCCACAGGAATGTGAACACACATCTGCCAGGCACAGTATCCCATAGTCAGTTTATGGTTTAAGTGATGCAATATAGTGATTCCATATGCAATATTTGGATCCTGATCCATTTGTTTAAAGTGTTCAAACCAAGACTAGTCTTAAGTCTCCTGGTTGTCTCACTAGGACAATTAGAGGATAAAAGCTCGATATCTTTTGGACTGTAAAAGATTACGAGACACTATTTGGATATATGTACATATAACCCAGCTTTGCTTGCACCAAGGAACCTGATGGTAATGAATGGACTGAAACATGAGAAGAAAAACCTGACCATGTCCGTCTTGAACTATTAACAGCACCCATGAGCATATACTCTGAACAGTATATGCTCAAACTTTTGTAAGCTCCCACAACCCGAGACCTACTGGGCAAGTTGGTCAGAAGTGTTGGAAATGCAACAGCATATACTAATGTACTGATATGTTTTTGAGCTGTAGAGGGCACTGTAGTGGAATGCTGGTCCCTGTGTGGATGTGATACACACGAAGTCCCTTTTCTTCACAATGTTATATTCATTCATGTAATGAAGCAAGTTAAACTTAATTCAGCATTCCTCAAGATTTCAGTGTTTCATCTGGACAAACAACCAACAAGAGGAACCCTCAAAATAATTTTTGGTCTTCTAGGGAGGGAGTAATCTTGGTTTGTTTAAAAGAAGAAAGGAGGATTGTGAATTTTTCTGTCCCCTGTGACATTTGATATTGGTGTATGTGTGGTGAGATCTGTACCAACTGCAGCATATCCATAGCAACCTCACTATGAAATCACTGCTGATGTAAATTCATTCAGAAACTACCATGCCCCTGAGACCTTAGCGCCAGACAAAAGGTCCGCTTGTGTTCTTACGCCAAGTATGGACTTCTCTGGCAAGTAAATGCCCTTACTGGCCTATGTACAAAATTGTGTGTATCTTCCTGCACTCCTTACCGGATCTCCTAGGAGATGATGTCTGTAATAGGGTGCTTGTAGCGACCACGGAGGCACCGTGTAGTCAAGTAGTAATTCCAAAAGATGTCACCAGCACTCCAAAAGTAGATTCAATATATTTTAATGACAACGGTCATTCAAAATCACAAGTACTTTCGGGGCCACGTTGGGTCCCCGTCATCAGGCTCAGGTGATCGCAGGCCAAGCGCTGCTTAAAGGTTGTACAATCCTTGTGATCCAATCCGCTACCTGGATTCTAATAGCAGGATCTTGCATGTGTAGCAGCTTTATCACAGCTTGAAGAGGACTTTTCATCCCAAATTGAGCAGCTTCCTCTGTCTTTGGGGAGCAGTACTGGTGATAATCCAGAAGTTTACTCTGAGAAGCAGTGATGGCAAAGGGCTGGAGAGAGTTACAATCCATTAACCCCTGCATATGCACTCTGAGGAACAGTGCTGTCAATAGGCCTGAAAAGATTTACAATTCAATATGCCCATGTATTTGCACACTCTTTTTTATTTTTATCTTCATACATACCGTTTCTCCGAAAATAAGACCTACCCTGAAATTAAGACCTAGTACTATTTTTGGGAATTGCTAAAATATAAGACCTACCCCGAAAATAAGACCTAGTTGTGACCATTCCCAGGGCCGGTGGTGGCATAAGGGGGAACTTGAAGAGCCGCGGGAGAGAATCAGCGGTGCCAACTAAGCCAGCGCTAGAGGAAGCGAGGCGGCACCGGAGGGAGCAGAGCCGCATAAGCCGATGCCTCCTCTATAGCGCCGGCTCCTGTCACAGGCGGAGTGATACCAAATGTACTCTGCCTGTGAGGAATCTATAGTGAAAGCGCTCTTCGCTCATTCTGGTTACCAAATTGCTCTTGGAAAGGAACGGCACCCCTGATTGCCCTGATCACCATATTCTTAACTTTGCCATTTTGGATTATTTAATTTGGACTTGCATTAACTTTAGATTGTTGTACATTAAAAAGAAAAAAAATAAGACCTACCCCAAAAATAAGACCTAGTGTGTTTTTTTGAGCCAAAAAAATAAATAAGACAGTGTCTTATTTTCGAGTAAACACGTTACCTGACCCTCACCTTATAGAATGTAGCTGGTCTCTTGGGGAAGGAGGTTAATGCCAGTTGGTAACTGAACACATGATCCAACCTTTGCTATCACAGAGAAACTGAAGATAATGATGTGATTAAACAGCACCTGTCAGAACCTGCTAGACACCAACAACCATGCTGAAAACCTGGAAGCCACATACTCATGTGCTCAGAGTTATAGCACAACAGGCTCTTGTCACTAACACAATGCTGTATACATAGGACCATGAAAAAGATTACTGAATAACAGGCAGAATAGGCCTGAAATGAAGCACCAATTCCATAAGTTACATTTTAAACACTAACAACGCTGGGGAACCACAGGTGACAGCAAAACACTCACATGAAAGGCACAAGATTGAAGCCGACAGAGTTAGCAAACAACACATTTCTGCAAGATCCAGTTTAAAGGTTTAGCAGCAGAGCTACAAGTGGCAGCAGCCTGCACTCAGCAAGCACCTGCAGGGTTAAAGCACCACAAGCAAGCTAATGGATGTTTCAGGTAATACCTGCAAGATTCAGCTAAGGCATTAGCAGCACCACAGAATCACATATGTAAGGTTTTAAGCACACATGGAAAACTGAATGGATCTACAGACATAAAAATATTCAGAAAAGATTCAGCCAGAGCAAAGCAGCACTGCAAGGCTATAGGAAATAGTAGCACATATATTACTTAAACAAACTCATTGAAAGAAAATGTGATCATCCCAGTACAACCATAGTTTCTGATGATGCAGCTGAGTCACGTTTCTTCTCTGGAGTCACAAGAGCAGGAGGCTAAGCAGGTGTTCAACCTGCCGCCATGATGGAGGAAACATCCGAACATGAAGAGACCATTTCCTGCACCCCAACTCCAAGGCTTCCCTTATAAGATTGCATTTAGCCATCTGAATAAAGGGAACTTCGTAACAGGAGAGGCTGAACCTGTGCGGCAGGCCAGAAGAAACCGGCAAGGTGAGGGCAAAAACTCCAACATATCCTTAGTATAACCGGCTTCAGCAGTGAGGACAGAGAAAAGAATGGTGGCCTTGGGAGGCGGGCTTTAATTTATAGTATAACTGGTCCTGTGATTGGGCTGGGGGCGGAGCTATACCCATTGTATGCTGCCATGGATTGGCGTCAGGAAACATGTATATATGCACACACAAATTTGCACCTAATAACACCTGTTCTTCACGAGCATGTCCGCTGTCTTTGCAACATGACCTATGTATATTTGGCTTGTGCAATAAAACTTTGCTTGAGCACAAACACCAAACACCTCACCTGAGTACTGGGTTGGATTTCTTGGGGCTCACTGTGGGATGAGGACAGACCAGGGGACTGTATGGGTTCCTGCTGCAGCATATTTAAGGACTGGCGAGGTTCGTCCTCGTCATCCAGGAAATGGAGGCTGTCAAAGTACCACAGCTATGGAACATATACGTCCTCCGCTGCAGCCCCCATGACTTCATCGAGGAGCGCACGTTGTTTTGCTCCTTCCTGAACATGGTGCGCAGTTTTGCAATTTTCTGTTTGACCTAGCTTATGTCGCCATGGCATTGACCACCTCGGCCAGCTTGACATAGGCCTCCTGCCTCTTGCTCCGTTCCGAATATTCTTTGGACTTCACCCTCCATAGATAGGGCAACTGCCTGTAGAGCTCGATAAGCTCTGGCAGGAAATCAGGGTTTGTGAATTTGTCGCTCATCCTACGTGGCTCTCAAATGGTGACCTGACAAAGACAAGAGGTGGTAAGAGTCACATCAGTTGCACAGTTTATCCCTGTCATGTGTCACATGCATACAATATGTTAACATCCACATAGGAAGAGCAACATCATCTCCATCGGCCATCAGGCCTGCTTCTAGCGTATAGGTACATTAAACCGAAACCTTGGACATTTGGTACATGTGTATTGATGGGGGATATGTCATGGCCATGTACTGAGTTGGTGAGTTGGTTCACACAAATGCGAGATGCCAGCCCTGAGCACAGGCCATACATGAATCAAGCATATGCATTTCAGGTTTGTGTAAACACGTGCATACATATTCTGGACACATGCCCATGCATATCCCAGTGCCAATTTCTCTGGTTTTGGCAGGCTCTTGGATTGGCCTTTAACATTACTTTGGACTCCAATTGCCACCCGCCCTTCAGCTTGCCAAGACCAAGTATTTAGGCACAAGGCAGACCTGTTTTGGGTGGTCGGGGGAAATCAGGGAGGACAGCTTTCTGTGGTTTACTGGACATCCAACACTGGTGTCGGACCTATTATTAAGGCTCTGTGAAGTGCATTTTCAAAGCGACACGCATAATCGGGACTTATACATGGATATATATGAGCATGGGCTGCTAATTGAGCCATGTCCATGTGCACACATATACATCATCACAGCACCTCTCCATTAGCACACTACAACATGAACATGTCCAAAGGTGTGTGGGGCCCTTAACAGATGTTTTGAGTTGTATATACATGTCCTGTTGTTTGTTCAGACAAAATCGTACGTACCTGGTGATGAGCGTGGGATTGCAGTATACGGACCTATCTCAGGACGGTGTTGTATGGATAATGCAATAATCGTAGGCCGGCATGTGTCCCGTCTTGATCACACCTTTTTGGATCAGAACAAAGAGATGGAGAAGGCAACCACATCTGACCAGCTGGCCTTAAAGCACAGAGGAAAATCTGTAAAGAAAGCCAGAGCCACTGCCATGTCACTGTAGGAGATATGGAGGAGGACTACAATTGCACACTGCAAAAGTATGACAACCGTAATGTCAGGAAGGACAGGATCCTGGAGAAGGTGCTT